CCCTGAATGTCCTGTAAGTACTGCCCTTGGGGCTTGGGGTTGCCTTCCACAAGTCACCTTGGGTCTACCTCTGTTGGCTTTTCGCTGCTTGGCGTTTGGCCGCCCCGAGTGTTTGGGGGTTTTCCTCCCATGTTTACCTTGGGGTAAATGGTAGTTATAGCACTGGTGGGGCACAGGGTACTGCGTAGTTAGTTTTCACCTATAACAGCGGCCAGCTCTGTTCTCTCTGGGTACGTTGTCCACTTGTGTGGTTTTTCTTTTATTTTTGCCTGGTAGGGGGGTTTGCCTTGTGTGCCCCCCGTTTATATTAGGGTCGTTTGTGTGGTGGCACCCCCTGCTTCGCCCTCACGGGTGGACATGTCCCGTGGGTTCAGCTTTAGCAGCAGTTTGCTTGGTAGTTTGGGGTGCCGGTTAGCAGTGCCCTGCCTGGGATAACCCTTAGCAGACCCAGTCTAGGAGCCCTGGGAAACCCCATGGGGCCTCTCGGGTCCGATAGTGGAGACCCTTGCGTCCCCTCTCGCTTTGTGCGAGTTGAGGGCCATTTTCTGGGCAAGTCCCGGAGGCTCCTCGGCAACACCCGGTTTGCATTTTTTTCGAGATTTTCATATCCAGCCTCAGAACTGGAGCGGGGATCAGAGGTGCGGGGGTCTGCGAAGCTGGGCAGCTTCCCCCTCCCGGGGAGGGGGGAGCTGCACAGACCTGCGGCGCAGCTCGTGTGACATCATGCTTGTTTGTTAGTTTTTCTTGGGGAGTTCTGTCCACTCGTTTGTCGATTTTCGTTGTTAACCAGAATAGGGGTTTGTTTTGTGGTGCCTGTCCCAGTCGATGGCAGATATAGAATGCTCCAAATCACATGTGCATTTCTATGGGCCATTACTCCCCGTGCCTCTGTGAGGGGGCCAGGTTCTGGCTCGTGGTCCCCGGTAGGCCTAGAACTCCACCCACATCGACTGATGCAAAATAGTTAGGGTATCCATATCAGCCATGGATAGCTCCGGGGAGCCTCTGGGACTCTCCCAGAAAATGGCGTTTCATTACATTCAACGCTGGTTTTTTGGCTGGCCTAATGGCTTCCTGAACTTTTCTTGCTGAGACTGCTCCGTGAAAATGGATCACATTAGACACGGGAGTTCATTTTGGCCTACCAGAGACCAGAGCCAAAGCCTGGCCACTCAGATGCAGAGAGCAAGTGACAATTTCCCACCACACTGGTAAAGTATCCAGAAAATCACTGAAGTTTTACAGACAACTGAAAGGATAACAAAAACCTGAGCCTCAAACTCTACAAATGATCCACACAGAACAAGAGAAACTTTCAAAATTAGCTCAAAACTCATTCTTCATCAGAATAGGAGAAGGCTGTAAACCATCCACCATGGCCAAAGGAACAAAACCTGTTTTCAGGTAAGAATCCTTAGCTCCCCAACCTTAGCCAGAGGTGAGAGGAAAAAAAAAGACAGAAGGTATCATAAGCCGAGAGGGAAACCAAAACTAGGCAAGGAGGAAAGGAAAATCAAAACCCAGTCTTGGGTTTTGAGGAAAACCAAAACCTAGAAAACCAGAAAAAAGAGGCCCGTTCAGGATGAGCATGAGTTAGCTGGAGATGAAACACACCCAAGACAACTTGAGGAATAGCAGAGAGAATTGACTGCTGAAAGCAAACTAAGAAGTGCCAATGGAGGGGAGCACCAATGCTCAATTATAAAAGGTGACATTATTCAGCAATATATATATATATATATATATATATATATATATATAGAGAGAGAGAGAGAGAGAGAGAGAGAGAGAGAGAGAGAGAGAGGGGGAGGGAAGGGGGGGACAGCCTTGACCAAAATCAAAGCAACATGAAGAGACTGCCTGATACTAATTTTACCACTGTATCTCATACTGCCACCATGAGGAAAGACAGGTGAGACACCAACAAACCAGCCACCTACTCCCCATATGACTCCTTGGCCACCAAGAAGTCAGAAGGATCATCCTCCCCAAATATGACTTCAGTAATAACTGAATTGGAAGGAAGGGTTGAGGGGGGGGGGAGGTTAAGGAATGGTAAATACACCTTGACTAGTCCAGTCAAAAGGCATCCACCACAAAAGCCTTGGGATCAAGGAACAGAGCCATGTAGGAGGGAGGATGCCAGTTCCAGGCCGATGCAAAGAGGTTCACCTCAAGGCAACAGAATGTCTTGTAGATCCAACGGAAGGATACATCATCAATGATCCACTCTGTAAAAATGGGACAGAAGTGAGATAACCCATCTATACAAGAACATTGAACACACCCTGCATGTGAACTGCACAGAGAACTGAACTCTAATAAACTAGAAGCTGAACTACTCGAAGCATCCAGCTCCAACGGATAATAACTGAAGTCATCCTTATCACTTTAGGGAATGATCAGTTGAATGGAGCAGCAGCATGGAGCCCACAGGGAGCCGAATCCTCCTCAGGGTATGCCACAGAGCCACAAACTACTCCATTGTGCTGTGTACCCAAAGGAATGGGCCAGACCACTGACCCTGGGTGGCCTGTTGGGCACTGGTCATGAAGCCCCCAACCCAGAGCCATAGCATCTGTGAAAACATCAAACAACAGGGGTGGATGGCACCAAGGAACCAAATTCTGAAAATTCCCAAAGAGGTAGCCGAAGAATGGCAGGAGGGGTTCAAACCCACCAGTCCTGAGGACTGTGAAATGGAAGGAACTGGAGATATGTTGGTGCAGGGGCAGTGCTAGTCAGGATCCTGGGAAGGAACCCAGAATGCATGCAGCCTGAAGCACAATCAAGCCAAGCCCAAACAAGACAGAAAACACATGTGAAGCAAAACACAAAAATAGTGAACAGTACAAAGCAAATGTCCCACCCCTCACAGGAACGCGTCCAAGTATGGCCGGCACTTAGCTACTGTAGAAGCAAAGGGATTAGCTATGTTTGAAAGACTCAGAACAACACTATTGTCCAGCTGGACATAGCAAATGGATTAAGATGGCTATATGCCACCTGGTCACATGACATTTAATACTACACTCGGTACACTGTACATGTATTTACATTCGGTAAAGAGTTTCTTTACTGTTTTAGTACATTCTTTAACCCTCTAGCTGTCTATAAAGCTTCTGACTTTCTGGATGCTTTCATGGCATGGTGCATAATTGTCACTTGATCTCTGCTCCTCCAAGAGATGGGGAAAAAAGGGGGCGGGGGCAATTTAGGTTCTGGTCCCCATTACCCCAAACTGAACTACTGTGTCTTTGATGCATGTTTCCAGTTGCATGGAGTAATCTCAGTGAAATAGCTTCAGGGAGTTACAGAGGGCTTCCCCAGAAAGGAAAGGGTCCTTTAAATTTATTTGAAATTATTCATGCTCATCAATAGCAATGCCATTCATTCATTTTTTCATGTTAAATATTTAATATAAGCCTCTTCTGTGCATACAGAAAATATTTGAATTATTTTGTATAATACTTATATAAGCAATGTTTATTTTTTCTGGGTAGGTTTACAATGAGAATACGTCAGACTGCCTTTTAGGAAATTTAAAGACAAAGTAAAATATTAACATTTACTGAATCAAAAAATTTGCAATAATGTGCACTGTACTATTTGATCGTAAATTGCATAAACTTGCACAGAATATTCCTTCCTATGCCTGTAACATACCACCCATATGTTTAGAACCACCCAGCACATTTTTACATTGGTGATAATTTGGTGATTATTTGTACATACTTATTGCTAATACGTCCAGACGTTTATTACTGATATGTTAAGCTTTAAAAGTCGCAGGAAAATTAACGTAGTAGTTTAGGAATACTATGGTACAATTCAAACAGGAATGCCTGCAGTACAGTAGCTGATTACACAATTATTTTCATGCAAAGTGTTCAAATGTACCACTGCTTCTTATTCATTAAGAATTATGTTCACTTTAGAATTGCACTACTATAAAGTATTTTGTTTTAAAATCAACTAGAATTAATGATTGAAATATAGTTAAGTTTGTAGTAATTTGAAGTTTGGGCTTTAGATTTTGAAGTTAACAGTAGTCGACTAATATGTCCAAAACTTTTAATATCTAGGCAGGTACTTGCTGTTCAAATTTAGGTAATGAATGTAGTTCAGCATTACCACCACCTTTTTCTAGTACAGTACTAATAATGACATTCTTTTGATGACCAAGCTATCTGTAAAAAAAGGAGTGGTGTGTGTCTGAACCTGTCCGAGGTTGCAAGCCAGATGCTTGCCATCAAATCACCATAGAAAGTTGTCTGAGGCTCTGATTGTATGAGGAATGTCATAGGGGCATGGGGGGATTAACCCCAACTCATTTAGAAGGGTTGGTTTCTCTTGCAACAACCAATGACTATGAAGTAAATTGGGTTTGGTTTTCCAGCTGTTTATCATACACACAATCACAACATTGTTCCATCAAAGTCAGGATAGTAAAAATAATGTGGTTATACAGTAGTGTGTGTTTGCTGGATGCATATTGTGCATGTATTTTAAAGAGGTGTATCACAAGGTGGGGTTAATGATGAAAATTAAGTTATAGATGTGGAGCTCGTAGTTGCTTCATTTTTGGCAGTAAATTCAGCAATGTAAAAAGTAAATTATAATACACACACCTGCAGTAGTTTATATAGAAAAAATACTGTGAAGGAGTAACTACAAACTGTACAATGTTATGTTAGTATAGGATTCTCATTTTTTCATATTAATGACAAATTGTGAAAATATTTTAATGTTAATAAATTTGTGTATGAAATAATACTTTGTGTTATAATGTACAAAAAGTAGTAAGTGAGAGTAAACTTTATTAGTAGGTAATATTTTGTCTGTAAAGGCTTCATCAAACTTTAGCTTTTCAGGCATGTAATTTGCTATGTACAATTTCTCATTCACATTCCAATTTCATTACGGTTCAATAAATAAAATGTTGAGGGGTAATGGTTCCATTTTATTGAGCATAATTGATTTATTTGTATTTATTGCAGGCCATTCAGTTCTATGAGAACACTGAAGCAGAGTACAAGATGTGGAATAAAATGGAGTTTTTCTGTTGAGACTGGCAATGACTTCACAGTACAGTATTACTGATCAAGCCAGCCTTTGCCTCCCAGGATCTACAAATATCCTCTGTTTGTGTCTTATTTCAAACATCACATTTCATTAACTTTTAAACTTCAGTATACAATAATTCAAGTTGAATATACAATACAGAGCTCCCTCAAAAATCTGAATTGCATCATTGCAGATTATTCAGATTTACACAATCTGGATTTACAAATATTTGCCATTTTTTTGGCCATGAAAATTTTTCGTTTTTTCTTACATTGAATTGTGTATTATATAAATATCTGAATAGTTGGTATCTGGTAAACTTTTGCAGTTATCTTGAACTGGCTTTTGAAGTCCTCAATTCCCATGGTAAATGCCATTCTTTGAGCAACAGACTGCAACTGCACCACCAACAACCACTCTCAGGCTTAAATGATGCATTGGGAATCCTCATGTTTAAAAGGTTTCAGTATGTCACTTCTTTCCACCACTGCCATCCATTTTAGTCAAATAATAAAACAAAAAGCAGACTACATGTCAGAAATGTTCAGCACTCAAATGAATGTCCTCTTACAAAGAATGTCACTTTTCACTCGTTTGCTTTACCAAGGTCAAAAAATGGACTAGAAAATGGAAGCGGCTTGCAAAAGTGACATACTGTCCTGTTTTCTGTTTTGGGTCCTCTGGGTTAGTCTGTTAGGTTAGGAGAGGACACTAACAGTTTTCTCGGCGTTTTGAAACCTTAGGAGGACGGGTTGCACCACTAGAACCAATGCTATCCACCAGCTGCTTGCCTTTCCAGCCATGATAATGCTGCTTTTAATAACTGCTGTCTTATCTATGGTAAGGAAGTTTTACATTGCCTGATGTATCCATACTTTTCTTGCATTACTTGGCTTCAACTATCAGTAGATAACTATGAGTTATCAGTAAAAAGAGTCAGAAAAAGCATTTTGACCTATCTATACCCAAGCAGTCTCATAAGAAAATATTTACGGTCATAACGCATGCTCTTGCAATACGTTCTGATGCCTCAAAAGAAAGAAAAAACTTAAAATTTGTTTGCTCAATTTATAAAGGCCTATTTCTAAATACAGTACTGGAATTATAAATACAGGTACAGTACTATTATTTATAATTTTTACTTTTTAATTATTCCAGAAAGGAAATCCATTTTTTTGGATGGAAAATTGGGTAAGCAGATTTGGTCCATTTTATACATTCAGATTTTTTAGGGAGCACTAATTAACTTGTAGATTTCCTAGTGTTTGCAAATTATGTTAAGTGGTATGTTTAAGTTAATTTCTTGAGTATAACTGTTTTTGAAAAGCGTTACTGTATTGCCAACATTGTCATTCTGTAAACATCTGTCTTCACTCATTTACATCCATGAACAGGGTATTTTGTACTCTTAACAAGAGCAAACACTGGGGTCTACAAAATTTATAGTTTACACTTTTACTGTACATCTTAATTAGGTCTTTTTATTACACACATAGATGCAGTTACATTTATATGTACACATTAGGCATAGAGTATTATATACATTTCCTTAAAAATATATATTCATAACTGCATCATTTTCAATATAACACGTTAAAAAATATATACTAAAGTTTCTTATAAATTAGGGCAGATTTAATTTAACATCCATGACACTGTAAATACAATTAACACACATGTAGCTTAATTCAGTCACATTAAGCAAGTACTTTAATAAATAAATCAGTTCAACATCAAGGCCTTGCATAAGTGTTTTTTAATGTCAAGTTTGACCTTAGAGTAGTATGTATGCTCATGAGAGATTTAATGGGTACTTATTGTATGTACTCACTAAAACAGACAAATCAGCTACCCCATATGGCTCAGAGCTGGTCTTCTCATTTGGCTATCTTGATCTAGTCAACAATGTACTGTACGAGTTTGTTTTTTAACAACCAATAATTATTCAATGTACTATATTGCAATAAGGTATTTCAATAAGATCATTTTATGTTTATTGTTGGTAATTATCATTCATAAGGTTGCGGTTTCAAAATTAATTTTCCTAGATATATTTTTGCCATTGAGAAAGCTCAATTTTTTTAACATTGACAAGTAGTTAACATTTTATAAAGAGTATGACACTAACAGTATCTACATTACATAATTAGATGGTACTGTATTTGCATAATTTTTTTTTTTTTTTTACCAGGACTACTTTTATGTATAAAGTTTAAAGTTTCATATTTGATAAGCATATTTAAGTATCCTTTGAAATGTGGTCCAAATATCACTTATGCATGGATAAGTTGTGTACATAGTTTATTATAGTACTAAATGGAAAACTAATTAAGTTGTCTTTGTTTTGTGAATATTCTCAATTATGCATTCCTCTTAAGCTTCAGTAAGACTGAGATAAGCATTTTGTTTGGATTGTCATGAAAATGCTGTATTATTTATTGATAACTTTAATATTTAACATATATATATATATATATTTGAAGATTTTATTATCATGACTTGGAAAATTAATATTTATATACTGTAATGCTATTGATTTTCTGTATGAAAGTGTATTGTATGTAAACTCTAGTCTTGTTCTAGTCAATTTGATAAGAATTTATATTTAGATATTATAGACATATATGTATATATACATATATATATTTATATATTCACTGCATATGTAAGATTGCTTCCTCTGTAGTGCCAAGTATTACTGTGAACATGAAAAATATTAATAACAGAATCAGTGAGTGTGATCCCATTGTCAGGTTATAATAAGGTCCAGATTACACCTGGCAATACAAATATGATCAGCCTTATCTGTATGTGTGCTAACAGAGGGTCAGTTCAAGTGATTGCAGTATTTTTTAAAGTCCACAGTAGCTTTTTCATTTTGTTCGTTTTTGTTTTGTATAGATCAGTATTATCAAAGTACTGTAGATAAACTCATTGAAATGGTTAAAAATATGCCTTGTAGAGGCTGTCTGTGTTAGCAAAGCCTTGCTTTATATACATTAGTGTAATTGGTTAATGCTCTAGTGTTGCAATTTCAATTTAATTTATATAAGATACATAATTGGTGGACTGCATTATTTTCACCAGTTAAGACAGTGTCAATAGTGAAAGTGACAGTTGTGTACGCGTGTGCAGGAGGTAAATATTTTCAACCTTTTTACTTCTCAATATGTTAGATGGAATATAAATGTTGAGGAGATTTACCAAAAACACACAAAAAGGAAATGTCCTATCTTGATGTATTATGAACAGTATTTACCCATAGGCGATTTTGCCAATGTGCCAAAGAATCAAAGTGTCCATCCTCTTGGCATAATGCCCCTGGGCCGCAGAGTCAGCCAGTATTTTTCTACCTTTGGATAATAATAATGAGGGTATTTTTATCATCAGTGTTTATGGTGAATTACGTCCATTAATGGTATAGTAGATGCTTGTTTTGAGTTCTGTAGAGGAATAACAGCACTTTTAACCCTGCTTAGGCATAAATTAGGAATTATTTTGTGCAAGGAAGAAGTGATAATTGTGTTAAGTTATTTGTGAAAGTTTACCGAATGCTGGTGTTATGCAAATGCTCGTCAGTGTGTACGGGTGTACAGTAGTCATGGCGAGACCATTTACATTCAAGAACATGTGCCTATATTGCCATCTTTCAAGTCTCTGTACAATACACTTACATTCTGCACCTTACTTGCTCATAAAACTGCATTGCACTTTATCTAAATTACATAAATTTAGTTGACTATCATATTTGAAATATTACTGTAAAATAATGAATATTTAAGTTTTGTGCCATTTAGAGCAAATGTCCCAAACAGCTGTGTTAGATTATTTCATGACATAATTGATATGTTTTTGTAAAATTCAAACTAAATTGTATTTCAAATATAAATTTAATGTATTCTGGTGACTGAAAAAAATCATTTAAATTATATTTTTTTCTGAAAGTTATTAAAAGGCAAACAGTTGGCCATGCATGCTCAAGACATGTGAAAAGTTGGTCTTGCCCCATTTTTCCCCATGGACATTCACTTGCAATGCTGATTTTTTTCCCCAATTTCTAAATCCATACTTTCTTCAGACATTGCTATTTAATTTTGTTCAATTTCTCAATCTTGCAATCTTTAATACTTTAATTTTTCCCTCACCATTAATTATACTTGAAGATATACTTCTATTTTGCTAGTGTAAACAAGTGGAGCCTGCTCAACTTATGTAAAACTCTTCAGCAAATATTTTATGCGTTATTGTTGGGTCCAATATAAAATGTAGAGATGGCCAGCAGCCTAAATATTTAGGGGAAGATTTTACATATCCACCCTGTTGAGTGCAGAAAATTCAAAGATTGTTACATATAACAAAATTATCATGTGAGGTAGTTATTATAATTTAAGGTAAATTCACTTTGTTTATGGTCAAATTCTGCATGAATGAAGGGAGAGCAGGATTGGGTCACCCTATAGCCTTTAACTTTTGAGATAAGATTGGCTAGACTAACACAAGTATTACAAAATGGCCAAGTCTTATAATTTGCCACTTGTTGATTATCAAACTGCCAAGAGAAAGAACTTTCTTCTCTATTTTTAAGATCAATACAATGAATAAAGACATTTTGATTGTAACTTTGAACTTACATGAATACTATATTGTGAAATGCAATAAAATATTGATATAGTAGATATATATGCATGATAACTACAGTTAAACAAAAAAATGCTGGAAGATCTTCCTTCCTACAACTATTTATATATTTAACCTGAAAATAAGGAATTATATAAGCAAAAATACACCGTAATTCATATAAGGAATCTTTTGATAAAAGTAAATCAACTTTGAAAATAATCTGGTATATGCTATGTGAAAACAATTACTTAACTAAATGATGATTTTGCCCAGACTCTGTATATGGTCAATCCAAAAGGAGTCTTGGAGGTATATTTGTCAAGTCTTAAAATAAAGTGCAGGCAACTCATGATCAGAACAATTCCTGTATATTGTTACTTTGTATATTCTATCCTTTGGTACAAATTTTCCTCCCCACACAAGTGCCCATACATATTACCAAATATTTTTGTATAGCACAGGTTATATAACATGTTTTGGGTAAATGTCACGTTTGAGTACTTGAGAACATCCGACCTTGTAAGTGGCCTCTATCACCATTTTAGCCCCTAATCCTGCTATACAAACCAACTCTGAGGTCCACACATGACAGTGCTACTAATTATTCAGTTGCTTAGAAAGTGCCTCAATGAAGTGTATTGGTGGTGCATCAATGACTTTTATCTTTTATTGCCTCTATAGGAATTAGTTTTATGATCATCAAAAAGCATCAAATTAGAACAATTCACTCTTTCAAGGTAAAAAGCAGTGCTTGTACACTCCGTTCTCTTAAAAATAACGTCACTTTTGGCTCATATGCGCACTATGACCAAATTTGGACATAATTTGAAAAGAAATTGACTCTCAAAAGTGACGTACTGTTCTGTTTGAGTCGTCTGGCCCTCCTCGGACAGGTTAGGAGAGGAAACTTTTAATTCACGTTTTTCATAACATTTTGAAACTGAGAATTTCCTGCCCACCTAACCTATCAGAAGACCCTTAACTTACAGTTGTTGAAAAAAAAAATCCCAAACTTTCAATTTTTTTTCATTTTCAAATTACATCCACTTTCGGCCATACAGGCAAACGGCCAAAAGCGACGTTATTTTTAAGAGGACAGGTTGGCTTGTAATAAAACTCAAATTTTTGTAAAAAATAATGAGGGGATGCACTCTTGGACCATCAAAAATTAACTCGCAGTATGGCATGCATATGGAAAATCTGGTTGTTACAATCAGCAGATTCAAGAACCCTACAAGAAAGAATCTCATTTGTAGGTTGGCAACTGCATGTAATTAACTCATTTTATTTGGAACAGGAAGCCTCTGTACACACTATGCTTATATCAAGGTACCACAAGTAATTATCAAAAGGTGCCAAGCAGGGGTGAAGTACCCCCCAGGTCTAGCTACTGACCTTCCCTGGACAACGGCTGCCTAAGTCCCGGGTACCTATTTACTGCTAGGTGAAAGGAAACATTCCAAACAATTTAATTTGTCCTGTCTGGAAATAAAAAAAAAAAGATTCCAGATTCAAGCCTAGTTTCCTCCTAAAGGTACAAAAGATTTGTTGTACAGTATTAACTAAGATTGCTATATTACCAAGGTTTTACAGAGTAATTGTGAGGTGGCTTCAGTGGTAAAGGATGGTAAATGAAGTCCCAATATTAACAACAGGACACGCAAAGGGAAAAAAAATTCAGATTAGTGTCACTGAATAGTTTTTTTTTGAGATATATACAAGAGTTGTTACATTCTTGTACAGCCACTAGTACGCGTAGCGTTTCGGGCAAGTCCTTAATCCTATGGTCCCTTGAATACGATCCCCTGCCGCGAAGAATCGTTTTTTCATCCAAGTACACATTTTACTGTTGCGTTAAACAGAGGCTACAGTTAAGGAATTGCGCCCAGTAAATCCTCCCCGGCCAGGATACGAACCCATGACATAGCGCTCGCGGAACGCCAGGCGAGTGTCTTACCACTACACCACGGAGACTGCGAAGTATGCTGAATAGTATTCAGCATAGTTAGTGCTGGGGAAAATTAAATGGGTTGAGAATAATAGAATACCTAAAGAGGATAAAGTTTGTAATGATAGACAACATGGATTTAAAGGTGGACCTGAAAGACAACTGTAAGCAGCCAATTCAAAGCAGACACAGAACAAACCACATTCTAGGACACAGCTGTCCTTGAGTCCACACAGGCCACAAGGTCGTAGGTTTCCAACCCAATAGGCAGCATTATGGAGCCAGAATGATTGTTAGCAAAAACTATGAGCATCCTTCAAACTCAAAGCAATCATGCAAAAGTCCCTTTGAGGGGGATTACATGGCCTCAAAACAGTTAGTCATACATGCACCAAGGTTGCTCATGACAAGACAGATGCAAGTACAGTCAAAACAACCCTGCTAAGCATGGTGACTGCATGTCATATATAACAACCCATCCTCCTGTTTAGATAGTACCTATTGTGATAGTTGTCAATAGTCATGAATTTATATGTACTTGGCTCTTTGATAGAAGTATACTGACTAGTAAGGAATTCTTTTAAAATAAATTAAGCTAAAAACATTCTTAAGCCTAGTATAGCACACATGTACTTCATTAGGCCCCGGATATAGTGTATTAGGCCTAGAAAGGTTAGGTTAGTTTGTCAAAGCAACACAAAAATAGTTTTTCCCAGTTTGTCCAACTCACTAGTTCAGATTTCTACTTTCTAATTTTGTTGTACATCGGTATACTGTATATACTATGGTCCTCATCATTACTACGAGTACTACCAAAACAGGAGGATGGGCTGTATATGAAGGTGTAAAAATGCTAACATTTTGTGATGAATGATTCAAATTATTATTATAGATGCTATGGGTAGTAAAATTTCAAGAAAATTAATGCAAATTATAATACCCTTAATATGTGGCAAATAAGAGTGCCCTGTACACAAGAGGAGAAATAAAACTAACCAAAAACCAGCGTTGAATGTAATGAAACACCATTTTCTGGGCGAGAGACTGGTCCGTCTAATTACCAAAAACTACCACATGCTACACACGCTTCAGAAAACTTCCTGGCAATACGTTAGTAATGAATAAATATGATATATTTACTCATTACAATGTTGGTGCTGAACATACAACATGAAAAAACATAATTTTAATCCGAAAAAGTATCTTTTTATAAAGAAATTAGACGAAAATAAAAAGCTGGTGACGCCAAATCAAGTCGACGATCCAAGCTTCGGTTAGGTTTGGTTAAGTTAGGTTAGGATAGGTTAGGTTAGGTTAGGTTAGGTCAGCCTAACTTAATATATCATATTTATTCATTACTAACGTATTGCCAGGAAGTTTTCTGAAGCGTGTGTAGTATGTGGTAGTTTTTGGTAATTAGACGGACCCCGAGAGACTGAGGCTTCCCGGAGCTATGCAGGCTGCTATGGATATATTAGACTTCGGCATCAATCTGTGCGCATGGAGTTTTAGGCCTACCGGGAACCACGAGCCAGAACCTAGCCCCCTCAAAGAGACACAAGGAGCAATGGCCTATAGAAACCCCCCGTGTGGTTGGAAGCATTCTATGTCTGCCATCAACCGGTCCATAGAATTACCCAAATCAGCCCAAAACTAAACAAATCGTCCTAGCATTACGTAAGTAATGAAGAAATATGGTATATTTACTTACTATAATGTTGGTGCTACACGTAGAACATGATCAAACCTATTTTTACTCTGAAATAATCTAATTTCATAACGAAATGAGACGTAAATATGAGAGAGGTGACGCCATAGGAAGTCGACGGTCCAAGCGACAATTGTGTGGAGCGACTTATCCAAGATATATGGTCGCCTGGAGAGTGTTTGCTGCCATATCAGCCTCCTGTACACAGTGATCCAGTCCTTTTCGTTCATTGAACATCGAACCCTCACCACACACTTGGTCCGGGAGACATCTCCCGTCACGCAGGGTGCAGTTGCACCTCCACAGATCTCCAGTATCAGCTCTTGATACTGGTAATGGTTCAAAAGGGCCACCACTTACGGGCTATTCATGCTCGTGCCACCTTTTCGATGGTTTAATCGTCATCTTGGACACATTCATGGGAGACATCTCCCGTCACGCAGAGTGCACTTGCACCTCCACAGATCTCCAGTATCAGCTCTTGATACTGGTGATGGCTCGAAAGGGCCACCACTTACGAGCTATTCATGCCCGTGCCATCTTTTGGGTGGCTTCATCTTCATCTGTTTAAAACACGGGAGACATCTCCCGTCACGCTGGGTGCAGACGCACCTCCACAGATCTCCAGTATCATCTATTGATACTGGTGATGGCTCAAAAGGGCCACCACTTACCAATTCATGCCCGTGCCATCTATTGGGTGGCTTCATCTTCATCTTAACACATTCACAAGGGAGACATCTCCCATCATGCAGGGTGCATTCGCACCTCCACAGATCTCCAGTATCAGCTCTTGATACTGGTAATGGCTTAAAATGGCCACCACTTACGGGCTATTCATGCCCGTGCCACCTTTTGGGTGGCTTAATCTTCATCATCATCATCATCGAACCCTACACGCCCTCTGATATATTGCTTAATTAACAAATATTCACAAATAAAGATTATATTTGTATATGTTATCAGAAAGGCAGATATAAAATAGTTTTTGTGAATCCATCACAGAGATTATACCTTATTAGAGAGGAAAAATATTCATACTTTAAACAAGGCTTCATGGCCGACGCTCTCCTTACCGATATTCGAACCCCAGTTGGAAACAGACCCAACTATAGGATGGGTTAACTCAAGTATCGCGCTTCCAAAAGGGTCGCCCAAGTTGGAAAAGACGAACGCTGAAAGAATATTGTTGAAAACATCTTGATAACTGATTAAACCAAAATTATTTATTAGTCAGAAGAAAGACAGAAACGCGATCTATATGTAAAACCTCTACCAGACAAATATTTTAAGTAAAACCGAAGATATTTGTAGTTGTATAAAAGTGGCAGTTTTCATCGCTCGTCAAACTCGAAAACCGCAGCATTCATCTCAGAACCATGCCTATTTCACGCAGATTCCTTAATAAACGTAGGAGTTTTATATGTCACAAGAAAGACAGATATATAAGCTTCGTTCTAAATACCTTACCATGGGCATATTTAAATTTAAAGCGAAGATACGTGTACTTTTATAATAGCCGAGCTCCGACTACGGACAGATCGATCGACGGAGCAACTCTCTCAGAACAATGCTTATTTCACGTAAATTTGTAAATAATCGTAAATTTTTTATATGCCTCAAGAAAGATAGGAATATAAGGCTCATTTTAAACACTTTATCATAGACATAATTAAAGTTCTAATGAAGATTCATGTATTTT